TTGCTTTTGATGGGATTTCGTCTGCTGCCTTTAACCCCCAGTTCACAAGGAGGGAAGGACAGCAGGGTACTAATGGAAGCCTTTAATGCGCACCTCCTTCCAAGGACTGGGAGATCCAAAGGGCAGATCAGATGATGTGGGAGCTGGTTGACTGCATGCAAGGCCTTTCATCTTCCCATATCACTGTACCTCATGTCTCTTATGACTAGAGACAGCAACAACAAGGCTCTGATTGAGATTGGCACTCCAGAGTATTGTTTCACACCAGTCCCAAGGCAGGACTGACACCTGTCCCCAGAGGTCTGTGTGAAGGGAACCAAGAATTTTAATCCAGGTCCTGTAGAGGGAAATCCTAGCCCCAGACACCAAACCAGACTTCCTTCCTTCTTTAAATCTGAAAAGAGAGCATGAGCTAAGAGGAAATTGCACATGGAAGACATCCCATTTCTTTATAGAAGGAGTTAAGATGATGTCCCAGTTTCCAGAGCGGGTGAACAGCTGCAGCAGGAGTGAAAGGGTGATGTCTGTTTCTGACGTTCAAGCCAGAAGCATGCAATAATCGAGGGAAACTGCTGCACATGCTGTATGCCTGACCTGCCACTACCAGGCACTGTTTTAGAAGACTAATGTTTGTGCTCCGCACCCTGTAAGATGCTGCACAGCCAGCCTTAATAGTATGGCAAACTTCAGCATAAATTCCCTGATATGGATTTGAGACATAGCGCACCTAAGATCACAGGCCTTGCTCTTGCTAAGTTCAGAGAAAAGTACTTGTGCAGGTAGCCCTGTGCAGAGGGAGTGTCAGCCTCTCACTGTGTTTTGAAGGAACCAAAGGGCCTGATTCAGCCAGATGCTGTATTCACATAAAAAATATAACAGCTCCACCATCTTGTACTGTTCCTCCAATCACTCCTTTATTTTACTTATCCTGCAGGTCCTCCAGTGTACGCAGGCACATGCTGCACTTAATCACACCCATTCATTTAGCAGTACATGCAACTGTTCTAGTATCATTGGGAAAAGCTTCCTTCCCCTCCATGAATTACTGGCATCACGAAAAGCAAGAGTGAACCCTCTGCAGTGAGAGTTTGACACATCAGACGTCTTTGAAAAGGGACTCAAGAGGTCTCAGTTCAGTTCCCTGCACCAGCACATGTCTTCTAGACCTGCCACGTACTCTCTCTTTGCCTCGCTATCCTCATCTGCTAATTGAAAATAGTGATCATAGTCAGTCTGACAGCGGTTGTGTATGAATAACTAAAGTTTAGGGGATATGGCAGCGACATGGGAGGGAAACAAGAGCACCTTTATATACAGATTTTCTACGTCCTGAGACATTTGAGTGAGATTCTCACTGGGCCAAGTTTTCAAGTCCTGAATCATCAACGTCTCAAATAGATTTCATGGCAGCGTCCACCCCGCACCCACCACTGGGGGCACTGGATGGAGGGGGCAGGTGGGGCCTCCATGTAGACAGGCCCAGGACCCATGTGGGCAGGGCGCATTTCACAGGCTGGATGGACAAGATGGTTGCAACCCAGTCCTGTAACATCTGAGGGTTACAACATGCCTTTTTGGACAACAAGATGCCAAAACAAAGGAGGCCAAGAACTAGCAAATGAGAGGAAACTTTTCCTGGTTCCTACCTGCTTTTATTTCTTACAAATTCAATCATAGGCAGATTTAAATACTCGATCAGTGTTGGAAGGTACAGCGCACCTGGAGAAGACAAGACACTCCAAGGTGATCTGGGGGACTAAGTTATTCTACATCAAAACAAATTTACCCTCCTCTGGGGATACTTGTGTCTGGAGCCTTATGCAGCCCTGTGAAAGCTCCATGATACACAGCCCCTCATTGGTCAGCAGCCAGCTATGAGGTAGGACATGGTCACCTAGTTGTCATAGTGGTGCTTACATCACAAAGGCTGTTGGCTCACCTCTTTCCTGGGTCCTGGACCTGGAGCCTTGAGTGACTCCAGACGCCTTCGCGATAGGAGCTGCTCAGTGCGCTAGAGAAGGAAAGCTTGTTTAAGCCGACTTTGAACAATGGAAGTCGTCGATCTGAAACTACCCGGCAGAGGTAAGATCCCCATGATGTTCTCCATGCCTAATTTCTAGTCTCACACCCCCTTCTTGGAAGCACAAGGAATAGGTAGATTATCTAAAATCAGCTTTGCTAGAGCTAGACTTTTAATTGTGCAAACCACTGTTACTTGGTGGTCTGGACTGTAGCTTGGGTGATCAATACCAGGTCAGGATTAAGCCTTCAGCCTCTGAACGCTGACATGGAGACTGTGTTAGATGTTCTGGGAAAGGCCTCCTTCCATCCCCGAGGTATTTCTGACCCTGTCCCCCTTGCAGCCAGGTGGGCGGTGTGAGGTGTCTCTGTATACATGACCTAAACTGAAGCACTACGGCAGCCTATAGACATGCTGGTTCGCGTTCTAATTAGAACAGGTTGGAGCAGGCTCAGTTAATCAAATCTGCTCCACTTTCTAAATAAAACGCTCCAGCCTTGCCTCACTGTGCATTAAGCACCAATCCCCCCCCCCCCCCCCCCCCCCCCCCACCACCACATTTTAAAATAGCTGTGGGGGTGCTTTAATTAAAGCTCATTGAATAAGTTTTAGTTAAAGTACTCCAGTGGCCAAGTTAAAATAAGAGGTGCTCAATACATGTGATGGTGAGCCGTTTTAATTAGAGTGGCTGTTGGGGAACCACTCTAATTTAAACAGCCCCTCCCCACACCTGGTATCTGTATAAGCAACCTAGCTTGCAAAAACTTTGGCCCCAACCCATCATTTTGGGGGTGTGATCCCAATTCTCCAACTAATTGACAAGGAGAAAAGAATTGTTATTGTCTGCACGATTTCCCAGCTGCCTCAGCCCAGAAGGGTGGCCTGGAGAGCTCTCTCATTGTTGCTGTGCTAGGAAACCTTTCCTTTGTAGCCAGGCCACAGGATTTGGCTCCAGCAGAGCTGCTAGTGGGTGGTGATGAACGAGACCAACAGAAATCAACAGAATCTTTTTCTTCCATTTCAGGTTTTTCTACCAATGATGCCTCTGCAGGGAGACGCCTGGTGGACCAGGCTCAGGGCAATCTCAGCCCAGGGTTTGGCCAGGCAGATGTGGAGCCTGACATTACTGTGAGCCTTCTGCTGGAGAGACTCCAACAGGAGGAGGTAGGGCGATGGCTCTGTATCCCATGGCTGCTCCAAGTGGGACGCCAACTAAAACTGGTCTTTGCCCATCTGCTGTGTCTTTTCCATTCCTCCTCTCCTATTAAAGTTCACAATAAAACATGCCCTTGTTATATTGTGATGTCACTATGGTGTCAGGGCATGCTCACATGGGCATCATCTCTCCCATCCCAGTGGATGATAGATGTGGTATAAGCCACATTCAAACAAGCCCTCACCCTATGGATAATGCTGTGAGCCTCTATAGTGTCTTCCTCCAAGTATCTCACAGCACTGAGATATGAAATATAGTTTCCCAGCAGCCTTGTGAGACTGGAAAGCCTCAGCCCAGGAAGTGAAGTGACTTGACCACTGTCCCCCAGCAAGTCAGGAAAAGGACTGGGAATACAGCCAAGGGTGCTGAGCCTCTGTCTGGAGAGCCTGGGCAACACACTTTCCCTGCCTGGCTGGGTTAGTGCAACCTGGTTCACAAATATTTCGACTCCTTTCTTCATTCAGTAACAGAACTAATCACACAATGGTTTTTGGCAGCATCTTGCCCAGCAAACTGCTGCTAAATTTGCTGCTCAGGATCAGCTGGCAGCTCTTTGTGTCTAATCAAGTGTTCCCCTCTCTGAAAAAAATGTAAATCACTCCCACCTCCCCAGTGCAGTGGGGTGACAGTACCTGTGGTGCATCTGACTGCTTTTCTGATCATATTTCTGTCTTTCATCAGTCTGTTACATTGTGCCCTCACAGTGCCTGACACTCCTCCCTCGTCAGTGCCAGCTGTGAACATCTGCATGAGAGGACAAACCCAAGACACCCTGGGTTGTGTTCCTGTCCAGGGAGCAAGTTCCCCCTTAGCGTGGCTGTAGAACAATCCCTGGGTAGCTGATGTCCAACATCATAGTCCTGGATGATCTGGCACTGGTCCCAAAGGAAACCCATTGTTCTCTTTCTTGGTGTGTTCCCAGGAGACGAGAGTAACCATTTACTCCAGCCTGCAGGAAGTCTTGCAGGGGGACATAAAGAGCCTGGATAGAAACCTTGTCAAGAGGATCATCCACTTGGCCTCCAAAAACATGAGGGAGACCCAGGTGAGCGAGCACTCACAAAACCTTACTTTATGCGTAGTTCGTTTGGTCCAATGTAGCTTGAGCTTACGGTGTATCTCCTGCATGGACCCTGGTTAGAGGCCACAGGCTTGCTCAAGACAGATCTCCTCCAGATGTTTCTGGAGAGCACGGACATGATCCAGCCCAGTGTTGAGCTCCTCTGAAATATGGGGCAGTTCCTCTGCTGAGAAAGACCAGAGTGCATAGGTGCTTTGCTGGGGATAGCATTTTCCAAGAAGTTTCCTGGTCCATGCTGAAGCTGTGTCCTACAGCCCAGGTGAATTCTGCAGTTGGCCAGCCAACCAGAGCTGAAATATTGTTCAGCCAAATGTTTCAGTTGGCACTTATGAGTGAGGAATCTCATGCAAGGAATTATTAGGGGGACGTAGTGAATTCAGGAGCAGCTATTACAGTGTGTGGCTGCTAGGTGGTGGGGAAGACAGTTTGCTTGGAGCTAAGGATGAAATGGACTTAAGAGAGCGGCCAGACACTGGGCCACTGGAGAAGCTGAGGCTAGTGTATTGTGCTCCCTCCCTTTCAGAGGAGGCAACTTTAACCCTAGCCTGACTTACTGCTATATAAACTGTGCGTCGGGTGTGTGCTCAAGTTTTCTTTTTCTATTCTAGCAAGAAAATGATGAACTGCAGTTGGCTGCAGGAAAAACCCTCGTGGCACTTGCCGGCACCTTTTATAATTGGGTGATGTATGAGCTGCAGTGTCACCTGGGCATCATGGAGCTCCCTCCAGTCTCCTTCTTGATTACACTGGGCGACTTGTCCTCAGCCTATGGTACAGCATTGCCTCCCTTGCTTCCGGGCTCTGATCAGGGATTGTGGAGGGAGGGGATAAATACCACTCTGTCCAATGGGGCCATCAAAACTCAGCTGGATTTGGGGCCTGAAGAGTCTGGCTCCTGGCTCTTAGGTGCCAGCATTAACTTATATAACAGCTGGAAGAGACTTCAGGACAGGAAGGAGTGGAGGAAGGACCCTCCACTCCCTCCTCCTGCTCTGCATCTGGGCATGGGAGGGGCAGCAGACAGAGGATTGTCCTACGTAGGGGCAGTCACTGTGCGGTTCCTCTGACATCTTGAAAGCCCCTTTGTGTTGCTCACCGTGAGAGTGAGGGATGAAGGTGGACAGGAATGTCTCTAACTGCACAATGTATCCTCGTCCTGCAGCACTGAGGTCTGAGCCCTTCCTTGTGCTGACGCTTAGCAAATTGTGTTTTGTGCTGAGGCTGGTGGAGACCGACCAGATGAAGCGGGCGCTGTGTGGAGGTGAGTGCCAGCCTCTCCTGCAGGTGCCCCCACTGGGTACCCAAGGCCTAACACAGAGCCTGGGCCCTACCAGAGTGTCCCACACTGGTAAGCAGGGCCTCCACTGCACTTCCTGGGCCTGATCCAACCACGAGTGGAGAACCCTCCCTCCCTGGGCTGACTGGAGGCTCTGAGCAGTGAGCAGGATTGGGCCCTTCATGATGCTTGCAGAGTATTTCCCAGGAGCCATCACCAAGGCCAGAGGTGCCTCTAGGCCCTGGGGCAGATGGTGCAGATTGAATCCTAGTTGTAGCCCCTGGTACATGCTCTACCTGCCCCAAATTCTCCATCTGTCGCGAGCAGCACAGAGGCTGCTGGGACACTGTCATGACCACCAGGCCTGCATGTCCTGTAGCACCTCACTAATGTTCCTGTGCAAACATCTTGTCTTTTCTCCCCCTCTGCAGTTGTGGAAGGCTTTGCCCGGGCTGCCAACCTGAAATTCCACATCAGGGACGAGAGCCCATTCCCCAGCTGTCGGGCAGCCGACTACAGTTTCCATATGCTCCCTTTCTTTAATCTCATGAGCAGCAACTGGCTGACAAGTGAGGACCTGGAGGTGAGGGCTGCTGTCTTTCTAGCTCTGTAGCACAGCTGTCACATGTCACTATTTCTGCATGTCTGTGCAGTCCTGGCAGGGAAGACCCAGTCTCTGGGGCTCATATCACGTGTCTGAGAATCTGCTCTGCCCACAGGCAGTGCACAGTAGTGTGCACTAATGGGTGCTAGTGAGTGCTGGGATAGGGGGAAGCTCCTTCCGGGCATGACTCCTTCGGTGCCCAGGGGGATGGCATCAAGGAGGAGTTTGCTCTCTCTGCACATGAATCTGGGCACATCAGCACAGCAGGGAGCCAGCCCCAGGGCTGCATCCCACAACCCCTCCCAGCTGCTGTAGGTGGGAACCATGCAGACTGCGCTGGTCCGATGATGGACCAAGGACACTGCTGACCTGAGAAGGAGAAAAGCTGTGCCTCTTCCTGACCCAGAGAAACCTCCCAGAAAGTCTGTTGGAGGGACACAGTCCTGCCTTTCTTCTCTGCAGCTGCAGCAGGCTGCAGTCAAGGCTCTGGGGCCTGTGATGGGACTCCTTCTCCACCATGAGAGGCGTCGCAGTACTGTTTTTGAGAGGCTCCCCTGTCTCCTGCAGCAATACGAGGGAGGGGTCGACAATCTTCATGTCACCATGGTGAGACGTTGCCTGGGAAGCCGGCATTGGCCCATGTCTATATGAGTGGGTGTACAGCTTGCCCTAGGAACTCTGTAGCTCTCTTGGGGCTTTCCTGGTGCAATTCAAGACCTCTTAACGGATCGGCCTTGCCTACCCTTGGGGGCTATACTCACAGCAGCCGGATCTGTAGATCATAGCCATGTTGGGAATGCCGCTTCCATTTTCTGGGAAGTCTGATAAGGGGAGACAAAAGAAATGAACTATCAGACCACTCCTTCCAGCTGAGTTTCGCTCTGCTCCCTTTGAGCTTGGAAGGGATTATGGTCAGGGCCTGGTAGTTTAAAACATGGAGATTTGGGGCTCCCTGCTATGGGTTATAGAAGTGGAGCATGTTATACAGTGGTTATGCCTGTGGAGCGTGTCTCTCCTGGGTGAGACGGGCTGCGCTCTGTCTTTGTTTGCACCCGGGCAGCCCCCTGAGGCAGCACAGGTTTACCCCAGGGGAGAATCCCACTACAGCTCTGTGCTGCTTTGTCCTGTGTCCCTGGGGCTGTGTGGGCAGATGCTGGCTGGTCCTGACTCTGTGGTCAGTTTTGGGGCCTACAACACCTGTGGGCTGTGGGACCCACTCTCCTCCTGGCATCCTTTGGAAGGAATCTGAATCTCTGGAGAGTGGTAATTCAGGTGGGGTGTATTCATGGTACTGGGCAGGGGCTCAAACAGCACAGTGTGGTGTGGTCAGAGTTGCAGACCTGGAAACTTCCAGCCCCAAAGCATAAGGCACTAAGCACAGGGCAGTGAGGTATTTTTTCTCACTCACTAATTTTCTGGTCTTGCTCACTCCACGGTTCTCCTCTCTAACCCTCCCTTTGACTTTTATCGTCTGTTGCAGAGTCTGACCCAAATCTTGGAGGTGGCCTATGATTTTGAGGTCCCTTTCCCTGATGGGAAACGCAAGAGCATCTGTTTTGCCCTGCACACCCAGGTAAGGGGAGGTTGATCCTGTACTGCTCATCCCAGTGCCTAGCAGGTCCAAGTCCCATTAGCCAGACAGACCCAGCTGATGGCGGTACCAAGTCCCACTCTGCTGGTGACCTCTCTGCTTGCCCAAGAAGAAAACAGGTGGTGGCCTCCTTGACTCCCCTCAGTCCACTTCAACTGACAGGAGGGTCCATGCAAATCCCTTTGTCCTAGTGAGTCAGGACCAGAACAATCAACCCTGTGGTGTGAGTCCAGCCAAGAGCAGCCGTGTTGCTAAAGGGACTTGGAAATCAGGGTCCCCTCTTGCTTATGGTCTGGACCTTTGAGTTCTTGGCTCTTGTTGTGATAGCAGTGATGTCTCCTGGGACTCAAAAAGACTTATAGACAGCGGGAGTTCAGGATCCATTCCACACTTTCATCTGCACCCAGCTGGGACTGTGGAGACTCCCTTCCCTTCTTCCTACAGGTGTGTGATAGCACACAGCTGCCGAGATCAGAGAACCAGGTCAAGGTGTTCTACTGTCTCCACCTGCTCAGTAAGGAGAGGGGGCTCCAAATGACACGGGGGTTTCCTTCGAACCTCCCTGCACTGTGCCAAACCCTGGAGCGGGGAATGAGAGCAAGGAGTGCTGAGGTCACTGAGGTTTGCTCTTCTTCCCTACAGCCTGTCTCTCCCCAGACCAATTTACTTCCCTTGTGGGCTCCCGGCTCAAGACCGACAAGGAGGGAAGCTGCGTGGCGTCCCTCTCAATCTTTAGTGGCATCATTGCTGCTGACTGTAAGTATGACCAGAGCAAACGTGCTGACTGCTGTCTTGGCTGACCCTTCAGGAACTGAGTTAGGACTGTCCAGGCTGAATTACCTGTCCTGCCCTAGCTGCGCTCAAGAGCCCTGGCTGTGTAGAGTTAGAGCCAGACCTCCATCCTCTGCTGTTCGGTCCCAGAGGGCCAGTAGCACCCTGAGTCCTGCTGGATGACACAGGAATGCTGGGGCCAAATCCTGCTTGGACACCTTTCCTGGCAGCACTCTCAAGTCAAGAGGTTTAACGAGACCTTTGTTATGGCCCAAGAGACTTTTCCAGTTCCAAAGTAGAGACAGGAGGTTGTGCAGGTTGCCACAAGCAGGATTTTTGCAATCTGGGTGCATCTTGCTGTGGATTGCTCCCAGAACACAGCACACAGGAATGCTGGGGCCAAATCCTGCTTGGACACCTTTCCTGGCAGCACTCTCAAGTCAAGAGGTTTAACGAGACCTTTGTTATGGCCCAAGAGACTTTTCCAGTTCCAAAGTAGAGACAGGAGGTTGTGCAGGTTGCCACAAGCAGGATTTTTGCAATCTGGGTGCATCTTGCTGTGGATTGCTCCCAGAACACAGCAATATTGTGCCCTCCTTCTCCTTCTTCCAGTGCCGGCAATGAGCCCAAAAAAATGTGAAGTAGTCAAAGCCATGAGGTGCACGCTTGGTGATCAGAGCACTGAGGTGAGGTGCTTTGTGAGTAGTGGCTGTGCTGGGGATGGCACATGGACCTGACACAAAATTCCCACCCAATATTCTTGGTTCTCTTGTACAGAAAACCCTTTCTTCCCTATCAGCATCTTCAGGGAAGGCAGTGCAGAGAGTCTGCCCCTCTGCTTCCAGAGCTGGGGAGAGTCAGGATCTGGGGAAGCGTTATCAGTTTGCCAGTGGGGAGGGGATCTACTTTCCCTCTGATGCCAACATGGGACTACTGAGTAGCAGGGACACACTGTTCTCTTACCTCTTTATAAACCCTAGAAATAAAATTGGAGGCCTGGGGACCCTTCTCCTTCACTGTCATCCTTTCCAAGGTTTGAGGGAGGGTTTGTGCCATGGCCAGTCCCTGCCACCATTAGCGCATAAGGGCAGTCCTGACTCCAGTCTGTCCTCTTCTCCCCTCCAGATGAAGACGGTCATTCTCTTCATCAGGACACTGCTCAATGTGCAGGGCCTGAATGACTGGGCCTGGGACTTAGTGGCCTATATTTTCAAGCAATCCAGCTCGTCTAGGAGCCAAATGGTAAGAGAAATTGAGGCTGGAGAATTGGTGCTGCTGTCGTAACAGGCTGAAGCCTGCCATTGGCTTGAGCAGGAGCATGGGGTGCCTCAGGGCTGCCAGGCTGTGTCATTAGAACCAGGGTCAGACCATTTCCACTGGTACAACAGATCTAAGGGAGCTCTCGGGATGTCAGTGCAGCTACTCTGGATTTTCCCCAGGTTGTCGGCGAGACCAGACTCTGATCTGGACTATGTACATCTTCTGATGAGGCTGAGATTTGCCCCTTCAGGCACTGAGGCTGACCACCCAGTCTGTCAGGGAAACTTCCTTGAGAACAGCAATGCTCTCTGGTAGAAATAGACTCCCGAGGACGTGTCTTGGTGCCCAGGACATAGCTTGGCCCGTTGATAGAATCACATTGACGAGACACAGAGCATTGAGCTGGCTGGGCCCCGGAGCAGACAGAGCAGAGCGGGTGTGTGATGCCTGCACATTTGTGTCTGCTGGGCTGAATCTGAAGAGAAGTGAATACTTGGCAGGTTTCAAGGCATAACCCACTCCCAGACCCCAGAAACACTTCATGTTCAGCGAGTTGTTTCACAGTGTTGGAGGTGTTTCTGAACTGGGAACCTGCCCCATCAGCTTGGTTTTTCTTTTATTTTCTCAGCTCCAGTGAGTTGTGCTTTGAGCAGAACATAAAACCAGTGGTAATTGTGCAGCGTTCAAGCTGGCTGCGAAGGAGATGGAGACTGAGTGTCCAGTCATTGCCTGTTGACTAGCTCCTGAGCTTTCTCTCGGTCTCTTGTGCAGAAGTCCAAAAACCGTTCCAGTCAGGATGCTGAGGAGGAACAGAGCATCCGAGCCACCTGTGTGGAGATCCTGGAAAAACTGGATGTCTCAATCAGTGGCATGAGCCAAGTAGGTGACCAGCTGCTGCCCTTGCATTATCAATGCATTTCTTTTCATCCCCTGTACATCTCCACTGGGCAATTCTCTGCATTGGCAGGGTAACGGAGATAGATCATGGCCAGTGAGTTATGCAGTAAGCTGCCGCCATTTAAGGAATGACATACATCACCCCAGCTGGAAGGGATCCCTCCTGTGCTGAGATGACCTCCTCATTCTCTCTCCTTGCTCTGCTCAGTCTTCTCTGAAATTGAGACTTGTTTGGCCAGTGTTAGAACAGGGTTTCAGAGATCACCTATTCCTGAGAGACAGACATGAGGTCACAGGTGGGGGAAGGACCCTCAAGTAGGTGGGTCATTGGTGAAGAAGAGGAGCCTGTCCTTTGCACTGGATGAAGAGAGCTGGGTGCAGGGGTACAAGTAGCTGAGTCCAAGCTTTCTGGCTCTTCTCTCCAGGTCTTATGGCCCCGGCTGCTGGAGTACATAGTGCCAGCTCAGTACAGCTGCACTCTGAGCCCCCTGTGCCGATGCCTCGGGGACCTGGCCGAGCAACCGCCGTGGGAGGGAGAAGAAGCGGCTTGCATGGACCCCAGCAAAGAAGGTTTGAAATCCAGATCCCTGTGGGATGAACCCACTCCACCTGCCTCATAGAAAAACTTCGGCCTCTTCCATGTACTTCCAGGAGGCACAAAGGCAGGAGGGACAGTTGGGTCATTACAACCTATGAGGGGGAGCCAGGAAATGTGGACTCCTCCAGCCCAGAGCTGCCCCAGATTTATGCTGTGCCATAGGGGAATCCCAGGGCCTTTTTGCCACAGCTTCCCCACTCATCCAATGATGACTGAGCAGTGCCTGCCTCACAGAGGGGCTGGGAGTGAAAGCTCCTTGATAGAGCTCCTTGAGATCCAGACTCGGAAGGTGCCGTGAAAGTGCCAGTTGTGCCCAGCTCCCCGAGCGTCCACGGGTGGGCGCATTGGGAATGGACAGGCTTGTAGCAGCATCACCCCTGTTCCAAAGTAGTCCCACATGGCCATGGCCAGGCTCTCTTTCTCTTTCCAGCCAAATTTCCTAAGGCCCAGGGGCTGCTGGCACGACTCCTGGTGAGTAGCCCTGGAAAGGTACCTGCCAGAGGTGTGGGGAGGGTCAGGGGTGTGGGGGATACGTGCCTGTAGCCTTAGCTGGAGGAGCACGCTCTGTCTCTTCCCACACTCTGCACTGCCCTGTGCTGGCAGAGTTCCCTTTCCTTTGCAGAGCAGAGCCAGGCTCTGCCCCTGCCTCGCAGCCTACAGAGGGGCATGCAGGATCAGCCTAACACAGTACCTCAGCCTATGTCTGATTGCTGAATGCTCTGGCCATGTATGGTGGAGGCCAGTTTCCCTCCTAAAGGAGGGCTCAGCCCCTGTTTCTCTCGCTGTCAGGTGGTTGCCTCAGCCCTGGGTGACAGCAGCCGCGCACATTCTGCCCTGCGGGGACTGTGGGCTCTGCACTGCATGATCCACCCTGCTGTTGGAGAGCGGTGGAGGATCAAGATTCCCATCCTGCTCTCGACCATTGAAGGTAACAAGCAAGGAAGGAGCACAGTGATCTCTGCAGAATGGAAAGGGAGAGGGGAGGTTGCAGCCTCCTGGAGTCCCCCGTGGTACCATTCCCCTTCTGCAGCATCACATGCTTGAGAGCTTCTACTCTTTGTCACAGGGGAGGAATCCAGGGACTTGACAACATTGAGGTTGATGGGACCCAGGGTAGGGTTTGCCCATGAAGGACTCCACCAGAGCAACCACTCTCCTGCAGTTCCCTGCACACTTGGGAGGTTTCTGGTGCCAGAGGAAACCTCTGTGCACTTTGCCCTTCTATGAAGCCCAGTCCTGTACTGTGCTGTACCAGGCACGTCCATGAGGTGCTGAGCACCCTCCATTCCCCTTATGGCCATTTCTGCAGGGACTGGTCATGCACAACTTCCAGACATGCCAGCATGCTATGTACTAGAGTACAGGGCCTGTGACCTTAAAATCCCAGGAGGTGACTGGGTGCAGATGCAGGAGTTTCTAAAGACTTGATGCCCAGGGGGGCAACTAGGTATCTTCTTCAGTGCCTATGGCAGTGACACCCTTCTTGTTTGCCTCCCACCTTCAGGAAATCCTGAGACCTCCCAGGACAATGTGTGGTGGGAGCACCTGCTGCTGAAGGTACAGGATGGCTCTCAGAGCTGTTGTTGCAGCCAGCCAGGGCTGTCTGAGAAGGGAGGGTTCCCTCATGCCTCAGGGAAATGAGGTGATGAAAGTCAATAACCCAGCAAGAGTCCAACTTGGAAGCTTTGCCAGTCTCCTTGAGTTTGGATTGACATCCAGAGTTGTCCATTTGGGATACTTCAGGCTTTCCGTACAGTCTCTGAGCTCAAGAAATGGAAGGAGATGAGGCCTTGGTAGGGGGCTTCTGCAATTCCCAGGTCCTATTACAATGCAAGCCCAACACCACAAAGTACTGAAGTCCCTGGCAGTTGGAGGTGCCCACTGTAGAGCCCATGGTGCCTTTTTGACTTGATCCATCCTCCCCGCTCTACACAACCTCTTGCCAGTGGACAGGTTTCTTGGCAAAATCTCCTCCAAATTTCTGTCCACTGGTGTCAAGGGTTGTGAAGGATTTTGGGGCAGAGATGAGGAGGGGAGAGCACGAAGCAGGAAGATCCTAAGGTGTCCATCTGTAGAGTTCTCCAAAGGAGTCCTCTCCCTGTGAGACTTGGGTGCTAGAAAGGGCACAGGAGGAGGACGACAGAGACTCAGCCCATGGACCCAGCCCTTTGCTTCCCTTCACTTGTGCCCTCAGTTCCTGAACATGACGCTGAAGAGTATTGATGACGATGCCTGGAGCAGTCAGCTGAGCCTGGAGCTGCAGCACCAGACAGCCAGTTATGCCTGCTCCTCCCCGGAGAAGGTGCGTGGTCTTGGCAATGGCTGGGTTTCTGCAGCTGTTTCGTGGTGCTGTGGCAGGAGGCTGCAGAGAGTTTCTCTCCAGAGTTTGTGCTTTTCTGTTCTTTTTTCTTGATCAAAGCCATTGTCCTTGGTTGCTTGCTCTCTTCACTGACCCAACGGGAGCTGCTTAGCGCGGCTCTTTCTTTGCCTTTAGCTGCCATTTCCCTGCAGAGAGTGGGGCCAGTTACTTGGTGCGTGGGTGCTGGGGCTGGACTCTCTTGGTCCTTCCTAGGGACGGGTGTGTTTCTGGGTGGTTCTTGTCCTGACCAGCAGGCTGCTGTGTTCCTAGCTCTGGTGATGTCGGTCTCCTTCTTTCAGAGTTTCCTATATAAGGCACTTGGTACCACATTGGCCTCTTGCCAGGATGTTGCCCATGTGAAATCCCAGCTCCAGAAATCTCTGAAGGCCACAGATTACATGAATGCTTCTGAGAGAGAGGTGAGGACCCTATTCTCTCCAGACATGGCCAGGTCCTCCCGTGTCCTCACTTCTCTGTGGCTGTGTCTGGGGCTTGTTTGCTTCATGGCCTTCCCTTGTCCTTTCCCTCGGACAGCCCCCCTGGCTTGTTCCAGGTTGGACGGGCAGTTCTAGTATCAGGGGAGATGGGGAGGTCTCTTGGGTCTGTCAGCCAGGCGGTCCTGCTCACTCACCAATGTGTTTCTTGGGTTCCAGCAAGTTGTGACCATCCTGGCATTCTCAGCCAAGGGCCACCTGGACCTCACCCTGGGCACACTGGAGGACTTTGGTGCTGCTATGAGTAAAGTACAGGTGTCTGGGATAGTCGGCCGCCTGCAGGTAATGGAGCTGGGGGGTTTCTCACACTTCCTCCCCCTAGAAACCCTTGAGAAGAACAGCTTGGCAGTGGCTACTCTCCCTGGTAATGGCCTCTCCCAGGGGACATGCTCCACATCAGGTCTCCAGTGATACAGAGGGAAACACAGTTTCTACTACTCATGTTTTTCATGTCCCAGGTTAATGGGTCAACAGTCAACCAGCCCCTTTCAGGCACTGAGGCAACTACATCTGAGTCAACCAGCCCCTTTCAGGCACTGAGGCAACTACATCTGTTGTTCACCCAGAGAAAGAGATTGTGTATTTCTCCCATCTTTCAGTTAGCCGTGGGAGAGGAGACATGAGCCCTGTTGCCCAGCCTCAAAGTACCAGCTCCGAATGCATAATCCACACACCCACTCTCCAGCTTCTGCTGGAGAGTCTAGAGGCACCTACATGTTTGCTGCCAAATGGGCCCTAAGGTTCTCCTCTAGGGCTCACCCAGCCCAGCAGAGCCACCACCATGGCTGAGCTGAGCACCTCAGCGCTCACAGGTGTCTGGGTCCAGGCCGCATCCAGCAGGGTGTTCATGGTGCCCCAAACACCTGCCGAGAGCTTCAGCTTCAGCTTCTGCACAAAGCAGCACAGGCAGAGCCACTTCCTTCACACAGAGAGCCCTGCAGCAGCCTTCCTGATGCATTGTGCCCAGGGACTCCTTCCTGCCAAATTCATGAGGAGGCCCTGGGCACAATGCATCTGCTGCCCCAGTTCCTGTCAGTCACAAACTCTCCCCGACCCCTGCCCCAACTTCCATGGCTCAGAGTGGCACTGCAGCTCTCTCTGCCCGAGTCACCCAGGCTGCAGGACAGAGAAGATAAGGCATCTGAACCAAAGCACTGATGATGGTGCTGAGAGCTGTGGGTTTCCTGTGACTGGCAGGGAGAGCTGGTATTGCTGCTGGGCAACTCCTTGGTCAGCAGTGATTCCTACTTGCGGGGAAGAAGGCATGGGAAGCCCTGGTGTGAGTGTCATGTCACCCTGTGCAGGACTATCACCAAGGGAAAAGAGCCAGGACCCACAGGGCCTTGATACTGGCCTACAGCCGAATTGCCGTCCATGCCCCCCAAACGCAGCTGTTCCCCCGCGTGGAGCGTGACATCACCAGGAAGGTCCTGCAATATTACACGACCAGCTGCCACGTAAGAGCCTGGGACTGCACCATGTTGGGAACAGGCCTGCCATGGGACTGATGTCTCCTTTGCACTTGGGTGCCTAGAGAGGCTCTGACTGTCTGATCCTCCCCCTGAACTCACGCCTGTGATGAGCATCCATGTTAATCCTTCTGGGATGATGTGCAGTGGGAGGGCCCCACGTATGGAGAGCGCTGGGATAGACAGTCCTGACAACCTGTCCTGTGCTGGAGCGGGGCGTGCATTCATGCCCTTGCACTGCTCAACACTCCCTGGCCCGGCCCTTTTTTGGACCTGGCAGTGGGCTGTACTCTGGAGCCGTTCCAGGCACTGATGGTTGTTTTGCATTCCTTTTCCCAGGTGCTTGGCATCAACATTGTCAATAAGGTAAATGTTCAATGACCCCACCTCTGCCTGTGCTCTTCCCAGACCCTAAGTGCAGGAGGCACGATGACCTTCCCCAGGTGGGAGTCCCTGCTCCTGCCATGCTCCTCGTCTGAGATGGGTGTGGGCCCGGGACTTTCTGGGGCCTGTACACATCTCTCAGGGATGCAAATGAGGCTGCATTTCATCCCTGATCTTTACGTTGTGGACCTTGGTTCTTGTCCGTTCCTCATCCCCATCTCCTTGCTGTCCCCCCTTGATATTCAGGACCCAGACTTAAAGCTGACCCTGATTCGGTCAGTCACTGAGATCAGCCGTGCCATCCGGGACGCAGACGGCTCCCAGAACTTCCAGTTCACTTACAAAGAGGAGCTCCTGGGGTACATGCTGGTGAGTGGGAGGAGCCGTGCAGGCCAAACTGCAAAGGACCTGGTGGGAACCTAATGGGACTGGTTTCCCTTCGAGCGGCTGTTTCGTCCCCTGGCTGTCATGGGGTTATTGGAGCCTCATGAGGGGTCTGCTTGGGGCCAGAAAGCTGGTGCCCCTCGAAGCTTTGTTGGCAATGCTGCTTTGTGGGCTGCTCTTGGAGGGCCCGGCTCTGTCTGGTGAGTGCCTGGGATACAGCTCTGTGCCCTCTGCACTGATGCCACTGACCTGAGCAGGATCCTTGGGCAGTGGCCAGCACAGCCCTGGCTCTGTTTATGGCTCACTTGGGAGGGCACCCTGGTGGGTTTGTGGGGTGAGGCTCTCTGCTTCCCACATCCATTTCCCCTGTGTCATGTCTCCGTTTCTGCCTTTTAGGACTTCATGAAAGAGGAACCAATGGATTCCTTGGCCTCTCCTGTTCGCCTCAGGGCCATGCTTGCCATTAATCACCTGAGGTAGGTGATTCCTGCGCTGGCCCTTGGCACTGGGATGCCCTGGTCAGAGATGAGCTCCTTCCTTAGCTCTCTGTTGTTCTTCCTGCCAGATCTGAGAGACCCCTGCAGGGCTCAGGTCACAGGCTGCACTCGCTGCAGCTGGGGTCAGAGGGCTTGAATGTGTTTGGTCCACTTGGAGACTTGGACTTGAAAGACTCGGTGGTGGTGGTTGTGGGACATCTAGGAGCGGTAGGGGGGAGTGCCAGGAGCTTCTCAGCTGCCAAGTCCAGCGGGGTTTGGATTTCGGGTTCTAGGTTCAGACCATATTTTAGCACTAGACCCACTTTCCCTTGGGGCTGGCAGTCAGTGAGACAGGCTTTTCTTCCTCTCTTTCTTCTGCCAGCAAGGTGAAACCCTCACTAAATCTGAATGAAAACAGAAACATCTTGGATGACTGCTTAAAATGCCTGCTGCCTCTTCCAGCTGTTCAGCAGCTGAGGGAAGAGGGTGAGACCTCTCAGGACTCCATTCAAATACAGGTACACCTAAACAGTTGTCTTCTGGCGTCACCTGCTGGGACCTGCTCCCCAGCCTGCTCTGGGTCTTGGCAGTCACCCCGGCCTCCCTAGAACGGTTCTGGGTTTTGTGACATGCTCTCGCTGGCCCTGAGCTTCTGTCTTCTATCTCCTGCTTGCAGGCACTGCACGAGTTGTCCATGGAGGCCTTGGGTGAGCTCATGAGGGGCCTCCTTGAAGAAGACCCCACTGAGAATTGGTTCATGGAAATGTTCCATGTGAGTAGCCAGCAGGAGCAGGCAGAGCCCTCTCCTCTGGGGAAGGGGGAATGAGGCAAAGGACACGGAGGAAGGTTTCCCTCAGCAGGGCAGATGAGAGGGGAGTCTCACAAGGTGTCCTTGGGGCAATGGATGGTATCCTGTTGATATCCCTAGTAGCTGCACCATCTTGTGCCAGGGTCACTCAGCAGCTCCTCTGGCTTCAGGGGAATTAAAGGCCACCTGGGATGAATCCGGATGATAAAAGAATCAGTTTGCTTGGTGGGATTTCAGTGGCCATGGTGATGTCTGCTGTTGAAATGGTTCCTCAGCTGTTTTAAAGGTTTCTTTGACAGTAGTTTGCTCTCTCAACAGCTGCTTGAGCCATGGATCTTCTCCGATAAGGAGTGGGAGAAAGATAGGGCCTTGCAGGCCAGCTCTCAGCTGCTTGTTGCCTATCGGGAGATAGTCTATTGCAGAGTAAGTATGGTCTAACTTTCTTCCCTTGATGTCCTCATGGCAGGCTCACCCTGAGATGTAGAAAGCTTCCCTAGCAGTCAGGGTCCCACAGGGATGCATTCCTGTTTTCACCATCCCAGGATCATAAACTTGAATATCACTCTAGCCAGGCCCAGGCACATGTCATTCATTTCTTTGTCCTTTTTTCTCAGCTACAAGAGCCTTTGGAGCAGTTTGGGTCCTTGCTGAGGCTACTGGCGCCATACACTTGTGCCTCTCTCGCCACATCCCGCCTGTGGGCCGCCGACTGCATTGTCTGCCTTCTGTGCCTACAAGGTAAGGGCGCTCTGAGTAGGTGCAAGTGACTCTGCCCCTTTTCTCTCTCTGGTAATGCCTACTCCTCTTCTCTGTCCATTCGCTACTAGTCAAATGACACCTCAAAAGCACCTCAAAAGGGCCACAACTGGCCCTTGGAAGATCTCCTCCTAGGAGAGAAGAGTTGCGTGGTGTGAAGGGCCTGGCTCTCTTTTTTGAAGTGTGAAAAGAAGCCCCCCTAACAAGAATGGGGAGAGGCTTGTAGCAGCTCTGATCCCCCTGCACCTCCAACCCCACTGAAGTCACTGAGACCTTGAACGTCACCCTTGGACCACACTGCCCATGACACTGTACATGGTTCCTCCATGGAGCCAAGGTTCTGTTTCAGACATCATTACAGCACTTTTTCCTCCTCATTTTCATTCCAGACTAATCCAGGACAATGGATGCAGCAGAAGAGAAGCTGCGAGGTCTCCGGGAGGAGCTCAAAGCTGCCAGCCCTGAGGCTGTGCTTAAGTCATCCTCCCAAATGGCGAAGGTCAGTGGCTCAAGAACCTGGTGTGGAGACTCTGGGAACTGGGCGTCCTTCATTGTCCATTCCTTTGCTCACACATGGTTTATCTCTTTCTTTGGTGTGCATGGGAGAGGCATTTTGGGACACTTATTGTCCACCCACTATCTGCTGCTGTTTGCCAATGTCCATGGTAGAAAGAATAAGTCAGAGCAAAATTAGAAAGCTTGGTAGATAGTTCTGTCCCTGCACAGAAGAACAAACCTTAGTCAGTACAGCATCCAAGTGAGAGCCTCAGCCAGGACTTGGTCTCCTTGTGTGCCTGTTTTAACTTGTCTTGGGGTGCAGCGTGGCTGTGTTCCTGTTGTGTTGTCAAATGATGCTCCCTCCATTGTAGACTGGTGCAACGTTTAAACCCAGGATTCACCTCTTGCACATGCACCAAGTTGCCGTAGGGCACAAGCTTACGCACAGCACAGCTCTTTAATATCACACTTGAACTCTGGAGTTCAGTGCAGTTTCCCTTCTTTCTATTTGTCTCCAGGTCATTGGCAAATACTTGCCCTCCAACCAGACCCTTGATTTTGTGGGGACAATAATGGATGGCATGCTTTCTGCCAGCCCCACGTGCGCCACAGCAGCAGGCCACTGGTTCCATTCAATCCTTAGGGAGAATGGAGATGCCCTTCTGGATGAGGTAAAATTGAAGCTGAGGAGGCTTTCTACGTTTGCTTTATGCTTTTCAAGAACTGCTTTCATGTGGAGTGAACAGCAATCTTACTGTTGATCCCTGGACACAAAGCAAGTTCCATTTCCCTTACTAGCCAGAGATGGGGAAGAGCAGATCAGCTGCATCCAAGAGAAAGAGCACAGGAAGGCAGGATGGGGATTCAGTGACTTAGGTTGTTGATAAGAGCTTTCAGCACTGGAAGGTTTGGAAACATAGACTCTGGGGCAAATTTAGCAGGAGAGGGCAACAAGGAGTCTGAGGCACCCAGCTGTGGCTGGACTGGAACACCGTGCTTAGGCATGAGGAATGGATACACCTCTCGTTGCCACACCATGGTGTCACACCATGCAGGGGCAGGAGCTAGAGATGGTTCTGTGTCCTCAGGCATTTCCCAGCCTTGGTTGAGGCTATGTGAAATGCTCCTTCCATTCTGCTCCTCTCCACAGGGTTGGGAACAGGGTTCAGGAAAGAATGGATACCAGAGATACTGCAGCCTCCACCCTCTCCCTGTTCTGGATGGGACTGGCTATGGGCAGCTGGACCTACTGTCCCGCAGGCCTGGCCATGTGCAGAATAGGGAGGTGCAGTTAGAAATGAGGAGTGGGAACTCCAGTGTGCAGTTCCAGCAGAGCTGGTCTCACATGGAAAAATTACAGTTACAATCATCTTGCTCGCGGTCCCAGGGATTCTCACAGGGGTTCTGACATTGGTGGTGCTTGTTGGTCCTGAGATGAGCATCCACACAGGCAAAAGGCCCAAATTATCTTCTTAAAATCACCCCCAGATATTGATATTTGTTGGGGTGTTTGTGTGAGCACACGGGTTAATGTCAGGCAGAAATAGTTCCTGGGTGGCACATGCAATTAGGTTGTAGGTGTGTGCACGTGGGTGATGGAAAGGATGAGGGTGTGCAGGCTGGTTGGTGTCTGCCCACATGTCATGGTGTCCACTTTTACCCCAAGTAGGGACATAGGAATGTACTCACTTCTTAGGATCAGCCGGAGGCAGCAGTGTCTGGACATTGGTCCCTTAAAGCAAGGAATTTCTAAGCTGGCAGCAAATTGCCAAACTGCAGGAGGGATTGGTTTGGATTGTGCTGGCTGAATGAGAAAGGGACCCTTGTTCTTGTTATTTTCCCTCCAGGTGCCGGACATCCTGGGCACCATCTTTATTCGGATGCCAACAATGCAGGAGAGGTCCATGCGAGGCTTCCTGTTAGAAGGCGTTGGCATTCTCGTTGTGTTCCACCTAGAGGCAGTGACCACCAGCCTCCTTGCCAAGCCTCTGCCAATGGACAGGTACTTGCCACTCCCTACCTCTTGTACCTGGTGGCACACACACATCCCACGGCCTGGCAAAGCCCATACAGTTTCAAGTCAGCTGCAGATCCTTTGGGCTGACTTGGTAAGAGTCAATGTCCTAGTGCGTTTGGGCCGGAAATGCCAGGCTTGTGCCTAATGGCATTGGCAGATGACATCACTGTGCTCCAACCCCATCCTAGACCAGGAGAGCCCTTGGCCTTTGCTTCAGTGTCCTATTGCTTCAAGACATCACAGGAGAACCTGTAGCTCATATATAATTTGTGTTAAATTGCAGTGACACCTCTGAGCTCTGGAGGGCCTTGGGGGGGGGATGATTTCTCCACCCGCCATATACTCCAGTTGCTTATGGAGAAGATCCAGCATCCAGCCGGCGCAGAAGGGAGCTCATCTGAGGGCACTGCAGCCCGGGGACCTCTCGCAGTAAGTGACAGCCCAGGCCCAGCTTTGTCGGTTCCCCCTTGAGGGCTAGAGTCCTGGTTCTTGAGAGCTTGAAGTAGGATGCCAGGTCATGTGGCAAGCTTTTCTCCCCTGCTGTCCTGTCCCCTGGGTCACCCCCACTCTTCTGTCAGCAGCAGAAACACAGCAGCTTCATGCTGCGTGGCTGACTGACTCCATGAGCCTTTGGAACTGGAAACTCATGTAACCGAGAGGCTTCTTCTGCTTTGCAGCTCTGCATTCAGGCTCCTGGTGCCCCTGTACTTCCCAGGCAGAAGTGCAGGGATGTGACTGGGAAGGGAGTGACTGGGAAGGGATGTGACTGGGAAGGGAGCCAAGTGCTAAGGGAGCTGCTGCCAGAGCTATTCCGAGCTCTCCGGGATGTGAGGAAGAGACCTTTAGACTTGGAATTATGGATTTCCAGGTGTCTTCCCCAGGCTGACTCTGGTCTTCTCTATCCCTTCAGGCAACATGTGCATCCCTGGAGATGCTGACTACGATCCATTCCAGCCCAGTCCTGAGGGAGCTACTCCCCGAGCTCCTGTGCGCTCTTCTAGAGCAAGTTGGCCGTACCGTGGGGCAGGACATGCCGATGCCCACAGCAAGCATTCGGCGGAGGCAGCTGCGAAAGGGGCAGGTGTGCACAGTGGGCAACCCTTGCAGGTAAGGAGGAGGCTGCTCCTGGTTTCACAGGTTTGGCTTCACTTCAGGCTAGCTGCCTGCAGGATATTCTTGTCCTTGCCAAGGGCTGTGCTGAGCTGTCTTGGTTCTGGCAGCTGAAAGAAGCAGGGGTTGTCTGAGAAGCGCAGAGTGTGAAATGTTAAGGCTCGGAGGGCCTATTTGTTCCTCCAGTCTGAGCTCCTCTGGGACAGGACAGGCAGTTTTAGCCCGGGGACTTCACAATCTCCATTACTGACCACCGCACGCTGGGCTCCCAGTTCTTGGGACCTGGGCATGTGACTTCTGCATGTTCCCATGCTCTACACGTGGCCTTTGTCCCTGTAGGGAGAGAAGAATGGCTGCCCAGTTCTTTCCGTAGTGCATTTGGCTTCGGAGAGCCTCCATGCATCCCGTCTGGCTTCCAGCACTGATTTGTGCAAGGCCCTGCCCTGCCTGTCCCTGTCAGGGGATTGTAAGGCATGAGGAAGAATGGCAGCATCGGTCTGATCTGAGCTGCCTGCCTTGCGCAGCAAGTGCCTGAGTAATGGACCCCCGATTGACGGGGCGTTTTGGTTCTGTTCTGGCCGCAGCATCTCGTTACGGTCTGTAAATCTGTAAATCTTCTGTCTCCCCAGACTTTCTATGGAGACCCTGGCTTGCGCTATAGCAAAGGGCCTTGGGGAGAAAGTGGCTGCAGACCTGTGCAAAGCGGGAACCTGGCCACTACTAGAGAGCCCTCAGACACACCACGAGGCGGTGTGCCAGCTGGCCAGGTAAGAGAGGCAGGCTGGATTGCATCTGTGCTCTAGGCAGTGGGACGAGTAGTGGAGGGGAACTTTCTGTGCTGAACATGCAGGGTTGTGTGGGGCTGGAGACCTGGAGCTTGTGCTCCAAGTGATGGGAGCAAATGAGTGTTGGCAGTGCCCAGCCGGTCCCAGAACTAGTGGTTTTCTCTTGCAGGGCTCTGCTGCCATTGGGAATAATAACACCCCAATTTATAGGGCAGGTCCTACAGCGGACCAGTTCCACAATGGAAAATCTCCGTGTGACTGGTACGGCCTTCGTCAGCCAGGTAAGGCTCCAGAGAGAATGAGCAGTTTGATGGAAAGGAGGCTGTTTGCTGTGCTCTTTCCCCTGGTCCCCTTCCTAGGAGGGAGGATCACTGGAGGCAGTTGAGAGGTTTCTCTTCTATCGTGGCCCCTGCATCGCCACTTCTGCCGTATGAGAAGGAGAGGCAGACAAGGATCGCCTTACTGACCTGCCCCTACTGAGCCCTCATCCCAGCCAGCAGCTCTGAGTTTGGTCCTAACTCCTGCATCTTCTATACACACCCAGCATCCCAGGAAGACACTGCTCTAAAGCAAGCAATGTCCCAATCTTCTCACATTGGCATCATCTCCCCCGCTTAGACTAAGCCCCTGCCTTCATGATTTGCCTGGCTCTAAGCAGACAAGCCTCCCCATGTCCAACAGGAGTGCGCTGTGTGCTGAGGCTCTTCCTCATGGTGGTCTGTGGGATTGTGCTCTGGCATGGGTTACTTTTCTGCTGCAGGGCTGGGCTGTTGGGAATGACTGTGCTGGATCTCATGGACACATTGATTTCATTTAGCTTATGTGTGACCCGGTCATAGAAGAGCAGAAGCTCCTGAAGGCAGTCCTTTCTTTACTACATCAGCGAGCCAGGGACCCAAATAACCTTGTCCAACAAATGGCAGCCAGAGGACTAGGCAACATAGTTTACGGCGCCCCTGAGCAGGTGAGCTTGAAATCCCCCTGCACTCTCTAGAACGCAGCTCGACTGTAGAGACCAAACAATGAGGCAGGGCTGAAAGTGTGCGCAAAGACTGGAAGTGTATCCAGATTTGCTGCCTCACCCCTGTGGTGTCTGTGGAGACAGTTGGGTGTGACAAGTGTAATTTTGGTGCAGAAGCGGGTGCCTTGTGTCTCTCAGGCATACGGGAATGGAGCCATGGGGTCATGGTCAGATGAAGTCCCGAGCGCTCTGTGAATGGGAAAGCCCAGAGGTGAGGAGCATAAGCGCTGATCGGTGTGTCGTGTCTTCTGTTTTTACAGCTGAAAAAACACCAGAAGGCTGTCCTGGAGACCCTGTTCGAGGCATCATTTGTGCCTACCAGGGCTGAGCTCATGGAGGAGGGCATGCGGGCACTCACCCACATCTTTAAACATCTAGGGACAGATGTGGGGCCCCTGGTTGAGGATGCAGTTGTGCATATCAGGTCCTTCTTTAACCATGTGAGTGAGCAGCACTCCCCACCCCCATTCCAGTGCTCTTCCGTCGGGGCCATTTCAGAGGTGGGAGATGCACTTGCTGCCCTTTGTTCCAGCCCAAACTGGAAGATGTTAAGTACTGTGGGAGAGATGAGTTTTCAGGAGGAAAAGCAAGTGAAGAGAAAGGGATGACAGATGGGCCCTTGTAGACAAGGAGGGATGCTCAGGAGACCGAGCGAGGCTGCGGCTAGGGTCGTGGGGCTCTGTAGGGCTCTGGGGCTGTTCTCTGCCGTGTTGATTCTCCTGAGTCGAAAGCAGAGCTGGGCAGGGACAAGTGACCACAGGGGCTGGGGGATGTGGTTTTGCTGGGATTCAGAATCAGAGACCCTAGTGCCCGCACGTTCAGGGAACGAGGCTTGCTGCTGCTCCCCGAGCTCTGCTGGGTGCCCTGGCTCCCAGGCAGCCCACCTGGAGCAGGACCTGCCAGAGCCCACCTCCCTGGCACACCAGCTGGCAGGCTGGAAGCCAAAGGCTCCTGTGAGGAGCTGTGCCAGGCCCATGAGAGAAAGGCTTGGTTGTGACCACACTGGGGTTTCTCGGCCACAGGACAGCGACAGTCTTCGCACCGTGGCTTTTGCCCTCTTCGGCACCCTGGCAGGCTGCATGAAGAGGAGGCAAGCCTTTTATAAAAGCCAGGTGAGGCAGAGCCTGGGAACACTCCTGGTTCACCTGGAGGACCCCAACCCGCAGGTGGCCAAGGTAAGAACCGGTGACAGACTTCCTCAGCCCTGCCAAATCTCCTCAGTCCAGCCCCAGGGGCACTCTGCCCTTCCTGTGTCTGGTGGTGACCATCCCCTTCCCAGTGAGGTGGCTTCATCCAGGCACCTCCTTGAGCTCAGGGCTGCCTCCCAGGTCCAGGGCAGGTTGCACATCTGACCCCCCTGTGCATGCAGGAAATCTTCCTGCATGGCTTTACTGAGGGGGAGATGGGTGCTGCCTGCAGGTGCCATATGAAAGGCAGAAGAAGTCCTCCCTTTGCTCACAGCCACTCCTTCGTGCCTAGTGCCAGTCACCTTCTGGCAC